TTGCATGCTTGCAGGTACATGCGCCTGTGTGCGTGTATTGTATGGGTATTCAGAGGCCAGAGGAGGATGTCAGGTGACCTGCTCTATCACACTCCTCCTTATTCCCTTAAAACAGGATTTCTTACAGAACCTGTAGCTCTGCTCCTCAGCAAGGCTGACTGGCCAGCAAGCTTGAGCATTCCCCCTGTTTCCCCTGCCCTCACCCACCACAGATTACAGGAATGTGCTTTCTACATGGATGCTGGAGACACAAAGTCGAGTCTTCATGCTTTTACTGCAAGTACTCTTACTCACTAAGTCATCTCCACAGCCCCCAGAAATCTTTTAAGTTGTGGTAAAATATACATAACATGAATTTTTGGCATCTTAACCATGGTAAAGTATGTTTTGTGATGTTAAATACATTTACATTGTTGTAAATCACACTACTACATATCTCCAGAGCATTTTCATCATCCTAAACAGAAGCCTCTATACCGTTTCCACAAGAGCTTCCCAATCCAGCTGCTACTCTGTTAGCTTCAAATAACCAGTATTCTATTTTCTGACTCTAATAGTACCACATATACACGAACTCATGGACTGATATTATATTTAACTCTTTTTTTTTTTTTAAGTCTGACTTATTTCCCTTAACCTAATTTTTAGGCATAAGACCACGTTTATTCTTTAGGAGTCTAGATATGTGTGTATTTTTCTCTCTTTCCCCTTTGTTATTGCTTGACAGCTTCATACTTACATAATGGATTTTAGTCATTTTCACCCCTGTTCCCTTCCCTCATCACTCTTCCTCTCCCACTGGTATCCTTCTTTTCAACAAGTTTTCATACTTCGTGTTCTGTGTGTGTGTGGCCTGCTGAGTTTCTTCCCCTGCAGCAGATAGGAGGTTATTTAGTGGAGCAAGAGGAACTTATCTGAAGAAAGTGACAGCCCTCCCCTAAGAAGTCTTAGTTGCCAATCATCTCTCTGGGAGGGGAGTAACATAATATTTTAGGCCCATCGATGTTATAGCATGCATCAGAAGTGTATTCTATTTTACTGAAGAATAATATTCATTGTATATTGTCGTGGTTTTGATCCCACTGTCACCCCCAACCCACATGTCAAAGGCCTGGTGACTAGTCCATAACACTATTGGTAGGTGCTAGAACCTTTAAGGGGTGGGTCCTAATTAGTGGAAGATTGGTTACTTTCTTTACAGGGATATTAGGATCCCAGATCCTTCCTTTCTTTCTTTGCTTCATGGCCTCCATGAGGCAAGCAGATTCCTTCCATCATGATGAAAAACCTGGCCACAGACAAAAGCAACAGAGAAGTTTCAATCATGGACTGAAATCTCTGAGATTGTGCACTACAACAAACATTTCCTCCTGTTTATCCCAGGTTTTTGTTGCAGTAATGAAAAATTAATATATGTGTATATATCACATTGTATTTAGCCATGTGTATTAGTTACTTTTCTGTTGCTGTGATAAAATAAAGTTTATTTTGCTTACGGTTCCACAAGGATTAGAGTCTTTCGTGGCAGGGAGGCATGGAAGCAGGAGATGGCTAGAGCAGAAAGCATAGCCCGGGACTGGAAATCTATCAAGGTCTAAGAACTTTCAAACCCTGCCCCAGTTACATGTTTTCTTTGGCAAGGCATCTCTCATAAAACCTCCCAAAACAGCGCCACCAACTGGGGGTAAAATGTCCAAATGTTTAGAGCCTATGGGGAACATTTTCATTCAAACCACCACATCTCACCAGCATTTATTACTTGTTTTCTTAATGGTATCCATTCTGGCTGGTATGAGGTAGACTCTCAATATAGTTTTGATTTACATTTCTATGATGGATAAGGATGTATTCTTTTTCATATACTTATTGATGTTTGTACTTCCTCATTTGGAAACCATTTGACCATTTATTACCTAAACTTTGTATATGTGTTTGCTTTTGAATTCTTTATATATTCCAGGTATTAGTCTCCTGTCAAACTCAGAAACAGCAAAGATTTTCTGTCATTCTATAGGCTATCTCTTCATTCTGCTGGTTTAGTTCACTGTACAGCTTTTTAACTTAATATTATCTTATTTGACAATTCTTGCTATAATTTCCTGAACTGTTTTGTTTGCCCATGCCTATATCTTAAAATGTTTTCCACTAGCAGTTTAAAAATTGTATGTCTTACATTAAAGTGTTTGATCCATTTCAAATTGATTTTGTAGTGTGGCAGATAGGGATCTAGCTTCATTCTTCAACATGTTGATATCCAAATTTTCCAGCACCATTCGCTGAAGAGGGTATCTTATCCTCAAGACTGTTTTTGTCAAAAACAAGGTGGCTGTAGCTGTATTTATTTATTTATTTATTTATTTATTTATTTATTTACTTTTATTTTTGCTGTTCTCTTGAGGTTATTGTGAATGGGATATTTGTCTTAGCTTCTTCTTTTAAGTTTCTACAAATTTAATAAGAAATCATGTTGTGTCTACCCAAATGCTTTTGACATTGACTACACTAACCTTTGTTCTTTTCTGAATAACTGCAAGTAAAATGCATATTTAGAACCATAGACTATTTATCATTAGGACAGATAATAATTACTGCAGCTGTCCTGAATATATTGAGATCAAATCCAGTGTTTTAGCCATTTGTATTACCTATGAAATCATTTTTTGCACAATGCTAGGAATCCAACCCAGAGCTTTGCACATGCCAAGCGAGTGTTCTTCCATCAATCTATACCCTCAGATGTCTATTGGCATTGACTAAATATCTTTGTATTAAAATAGCATGAGGGCTGGAGAGATGGTTCAACGGTTAAGAACACTGACTGCTCTTGAAGAGGACCTGGATTTGATTCCCAGCACCAGTATGGCTAACTGTCCATAACTCCAGTTCCAAGGGATCTGATGCCCTCTTCTGATCTCCTCGGGCTTTGCATGAAACAAGTGCACTCACATGTATGCAGGCAGTACACTCATACACATAAAAAATTTTAATTAAATATATAAAAAATATCATGGAACTTTGTACAATGGATAAGCTGCCTTCAGGGAATCCAAAGTACTATCTTGTAACAGTTTTTTCAGCTGTAGTTCTTTTCAACTTCAAAACTATAATTATAGATGAAGTATCAATCTTTGCCAGATAATAAATAATACTATGACAATGTGTGGGTATTCTCAGACAGGCTAAAGGCATAGGGGTCTGACACATGTATAGTCCCTGTGCTTATGGCTGTATTAATCTCTGACAGACTGCTCTAGCTCTTAAGGTAGACATTTATTAATTTAACATTCAGGTACACTAAGAGGTCTCATTTGAAAGAATCTACCTTTTTTAAAAAATATCTTATTATTTTTATTTTATGTGTACGAGTGTATTGCCTGCATGTAGGTAAGTGCACCCGTGTTGTGTAAGGCCCACAGAAGACAGAAGAGGCCGTCAGATCCCCTGGAACTGGAGTTACGGACAGTTGTTAGCTGCCATGTAGGTGCTGGGATTTGAACCCAGGTCTTCTGCAAGAACAACCACTGTTCTTAACTGCTGAGCCATCTCTCCAGCCCCAAGAATCTACCTTTTAAAACAAAGAACTGTCATGTGACCTAACAATTCCACTCCTAAGTCTATAGCCAAAATAAATGAACAGATATTTGTACAACAATGTTCATGGCCACATTATTCATAATAGCAAAAAGGCAATAATACAACCCAACTGCCCATCACTGGGTAGATAGAGAAACATACAATAGAATGTTTAGACTGTCAAAAGGAATGGAATTTTAATATGTATTACAATGTAGATAAGCCTTGAAAATAGTATGCCTAATAAAATAACCCAGGCAGAAGGATAAATACTACATGATTCTATGTATATGAGGTATCTAAATTAGGCAAATTTTTATGAACAGAGAATAGAACAGATATAACCAATGGCTCAGGGGAAGGAGGGGAGGTAATTATTTAGTGGGTACAGTTTTGGTTGGGGATGATGAGAGTTTGGGGTATAGATATGGTGATGACTACACACCACTGTATTTTTAATGTCCCTGAGTTATATACTTATGAATGGTTAAAAATCTAAATATTATGTATATTTTATCACAAGAAAAAGGAACCTATCTTTTGGTATAGAATACCCTTTCTCACAGCAGCATTTGGTCAGAGAGACTGTGTCTGAGATGGGTTGGTTGCTTTCAATTTGCAGGCTGCCGGCTCTCAAATTGGGATGTTGGTCAATTCCTTCACTAACGTCGTTGTGGCCATGATCATTGCCTTCTTCTTTAGCTGGAAGCTCAGCCTGGTTGTAGTGTGCTTCTTCCCTTTCTTGGCTTTATCAGGAGCCTTACAGACAAAAATGCTGACGGGATTTGCCTCTCAAGACAAACAAGCTCTGGAGACGGCAGGACAGGTAATCCTACAGACCTTATTTTCTGCTTAGGGGTGAGTGGTTGTCAGGCAAGCTGTAAAAATGGGGAGTACAAAAAGACCTGTGTGCTTCTATCCCAGGCTGTGACAACAAAGCTTTGATGTATAAGCTTGACCAGGCAAGAAGAAATAGTGGGTTACATAAGGGCTTACATATTTGATTTCCTCTAAGTTACGCATTCCCAGTCCCTAGTTTCTGTTTTCTCCCTTGCAAGGATGAATAGTTCACTTTTCTATTAGTTTTTTTTTTTTTTCAGCTTAATGATTATCCCAAGTCATGCTATCCACATAGAGAACATACACTTTTTTTTTTTTTTTTTGTCTTTTTGAGACAGGTTCTCCCTGCAGCCCCAGCTGGCCTGGAATTTGCTGTGTAGACCAGACTGGCTTCGAACTTACAGAGATCTGCCTGCCTCTCGAGTGCTGGGATCAAAGGCATGCACCACCACACCCAAGTGAGAACATACACTTTCAATTTTCACACTTTAGTGTTTGCTAGGCTGCTGGGAAATGCCTTTCTCAAATATTATCATGAGCTACAGTTTAGAATTCAAATACATTTAGGTTTTAGGTATGCATTTTAAAAAGTCTATTCTAATTAATAGTTGGACATCAGGAATAAGTGAAGGGATGATGTCATACACATTTATTGGTTAAAAGAAATCATACATGCTGGGCGTGGTGGTACAACCTGTAATTCTAGAACTTGGGAAATGGAGGCAGACGGATCAGAAGTTCTTTAGCTATGTGGTATGTTGGTGAATAGTGAATCTACTTGAGATACTATCTCAAAAAACAAAAACAACACACACAAAGAAAAGGAAGGATGAATCACATACAACATGCATTACACACACACACACATACACACACACACGCACACACATTTGGATACTAGATATTGAACCTGGGTCCTTGAGCATAGTAAGCAAGCACTTTACCACTGAGCTATATCTCCAATTTATTTATTTATTTATTTATTTATTAATTATTTGTTTGTTTATTTATTTATTATTTATTTAAATTTTGAGATGGTCTCATCAAGTTGCCCAGATAGTCTTCAACTCACTCTGTGGGCCATGCAGGCCTTGAACTTGCTGTTCTCCTACCTTAGCTTCCTGAGCAGTTGGTATTTCAGGCCTGTACTACCAGGCCCAGCTTACACACTCACTCTTAACAAATTCATTCAGTGTTTCTTTTAAGTGAGTTTCATGTTTTGTTTCTTTCAAGACAGCGAATATGACATTGCCCAAGTAGCCAAAGCATTTACATGCCAGCGTAGAAAATAGCACAACTTTGCACCTTTGTTTGGAGTATATCCTAATTCAGTAACGATAGACCTTAAAGTGTGGATTTAAGTACACAATCATCATGTAGACTAGATTAACTTTATATTTAATTTCAAGGTAAATAATATTTTGTTTAACATTTTTAGAAAAATGAAATCTAATTATTTAAGTTTACATTAAATGATGTTTTGTCTCAGAAGGCATTCAAAGATAGCATTTTAAACATTTCAAGTGAATTAACACAGACATTAAAAAAAAATTTCAAGGATAACCATGCAAAACCTTTTCCTATGTTTTCTCTCCAATGAGTGGAGGCACTGAAGCCACTCTAGAACCAATGGAGACTGAATATAAGGGACAGATGGTCTCAAGGTCCTGCTAAATTGACCCCAGAAACTTTCCTGTGTTCGTTCCCAGATTGCACCCTCACCTCTGATGTACCACTTTCTGCCATTTGTGCTAAATTTAATCCATGTAGCAGTTGGAATGTCATGAAAGGAGTAATTTCTGCTTTTCAGTTCCTCGGACTCTTGTTTTTCAGATTACCAGTGAAGCCCTCAGTTACATCCGCACAGTTGCTGGAATTGGAATGGAGAAGAAGTTTATTGAAACATTTGAAGTTGAGCTGGAGAAGTCATTTAAGACAGCCATTAAAAAGGCGAATGTCTATGGATTCTGCTTTGCCTTTTCTCAAAGCATAACATTCATTGCAAATTCTGCTTCCTATAGATATGGAGGGTACTTAATTCCCAACGAAGGACTCCATTTCAGCCATGTGTTCAGGTGAGGAATATCCAGTGAGGTCATACAAGATTGACACTTTCTTGGAGCGGGGAGGGTTACCTTGTTTTGTTTCTTAGATTTTTGCTGTTCAACAAACTACGTCCTCATAAAACATCTAAGATTTATTATTTCTCAAGATCCTATGGGTTGTGAGAGAGTTCTTGTGGCCTTGACTGCCTCATGTAGATTTCTGAAATTATGTGTGTATACCCACCCAGATGACCTTGCTAGCAGGTGAGCTCTTTAACTTTATAAAGGTCTTAGAGTTCCAAGTACAACGGAAGAGGGCAAGTCTTATTGTGGAAGCACACTGAAGTCTCCATTTGTGGAACTTTCTGATGTCTCTTTGGCAAAAGAAAATCACACAACTAAGCCTAGATTTAAGGAATAGAGAGACGGAATACACATTTTGATTAGAGTAGTAAAAAAGTTGAATCACAAATGGATAACAGGATGAATTAATGTGATCAAGTTTACACTTGTTAATGCTGAGAAAGTCAAACAAGATGGCTCCAAGGGTTATTGTGTTTAAACTCTACTTCTCACTTGCAAAGAGCAAACTTCTAGCTAACTCCTCTGAATAGAGACAATATAGGCCATAGAGGGGTATTTGTTTCCTTTCTTCAAGGCAGAGTCCAGTTTCTCATACTTCCAGAGGGGCGAGCCTAAGGGTCAGGGTCCAAGGGGACTGGGCACACGCACATTCATGAGCATGGTAGTAGGAGTTGATAAGGAGAGAGGCTGCTTTAAAAAGTTTTGGAAAACATGGAGAAATAGTCTTCTCACATGATACCTTTCTTCTAGAACCTTCTTGCTGATCCATTGCACTCACATCAACTAGCAAGATCTCTTTTCTAAACCTTTGCGTACTTAAGCAACTAACCCAGATCGGTAAACAGAAACTACTGATTTGTTTCTGTCAGTTTATATAAGGTTCGCAACAAGTCATTTGCCAACGTGAAAATCAAGAGACTAGAGAAAATTCCCAATTTCTGGTTTTGCTTTAACAACTGGAAAGTCATTTTCCATTATTTCTCACTTTATTCCAAAAGCTTTATTTTTTTAAGCTTTACATTGTGCTCCCGGAGAGTTTAGATTTGCAACTCTGGTCTTAGAATAATCGCTGATAATAAACCAAGCAATAATACACACACTGGTGTGCCCCTTGCCTCTCATCTCCACCCAGGCAGGCCTCTGTGAATTGTGGCACAGGTGAGCAGCTTTGAGGGCTGCCACTCAGTCACAGACCATCTGGCAAGCTGCCTCTCATCATGCTATCATTCATTTGTTCACTTTTCCATTTATTTGGTAAGCCCATGTCACTGTAGTTAGAAGTTGGAATAAGTAGAAGAATACGGACAATAGCATTTTCCTTGTCCTGTTTGAAGTGTGACTCAAATGCATGCTTGGTACTTGGTACTTCTGTTGCCATCACCGTCTTTCACATTGATTCAAGGAATGTTAGAATTGGAAGGAAAACCAACACAATCTGGTGACCTTTTAGAGTCCTCTCCTTTAAAAAAATATTTCCTGAGCTAGAGAGATGGCTCGGCTGTTAAGAGCACTGGCTGTTCTTCCAGAAGACCTGAGTTCGAATCCCAGCACCCACATGATGGCTAGCAACCGTCTGCGACTCCAGTTCCAGAGGATCTGCCACCCTGTTCTCATCTCCATAGGAATTGCATGGCACAGGTGCACTTACATACATGCAGGCAATGCATACATACACATGAAATAAAAATAATAAAAAATTCTTTCCAGAAGTCCTCATTCCCCCTCAAACAATTCTTTTTTTCTTTGCATAACTAGAGTTTGAAGGTCTGAGTCCTACCCTGTTTAGTCTATCCTTTCACTCTTTTACATAGAGCAAAATTTGAAAACTACTATTCTCTTCAACTCCCACAAATCCAGACAAGCCTGAAATAGCTTGCTCAAGGCTACTTGGGACTAGAACCCCAACTTTTTGCCTTTTAGGCCAGCATACCATCTACATCCCATTTCTCTACCTCAGTGTCTGTCTGATTGCAGGGTGATCTCTTCAGTTGTGTTGAGTGCAACTGCTGTTGGAAGAGCCTTCTCTTATACCCCAAGTTATGCCAAAGCTAAAATATCAGCTTCACGCTTTTTTGAACTGCTGGATCGAAGACCCCCAATTAATGTATACAGTGGTATGGGTGAAAAATGGGTAAGCACTGGACTGGAAGAGTTTTACTTTGTGTGTGTGTGTGTGTGTGGGTGGGTGTGTGTGTGTGGGTGTGTGTGCATAAAGTTCACAATTTGGAGGCTGAAAGTACATGATCAGGTGGTCCCATCAATTCAGTGGCTGGTTCCCTTTCTTCACCTAGTTAGTCCCTGGATTAATTACTTTTCTGTTGCTGTAATAAAACACCATGACCAAGGCAACTTACAGAAGGAAGAGTTTATTTGAGCTGATGGTCCCAGAGAGATGCGTCCACTGTGGCAGGGAGGCATGGCAGGAGGCAGCTGGAGCAGGAAGCCAAGAGCTCACATCTTCGAGCACTCTCAGGAAGCAAGGAGAGAAACTGGAAGAGAGGCAGAGGTTTGAACTCTCAAAGCCCAACCCCAGTGACGTGCTGACATTCTCATTCAAACCACCATCTCCCTCCTTCTGCTTTCTCATCACTTACAGTACATTAGCTTTTCTTCCCTGCTCCCTCTCTTTTCATTTGAAATTTCCTGACCTACACATACACACACACACACACACACACACAGTTTTAAATCTAGCTTCTGCATATAAAACAACATTTGTCTTTCTGAATCTGACCTTTTTTCCCTTGATGCAATGCTTCCTAGTTCCATTAATTTTCCTGAAAATGTTGTGATTTTATTTTTAAGGGTTATATAAAATATAAATTTTATTTTTAGGGCTATATAAAATATGGTATACATACCATATTTTCTTTATCCATTCATTTGTTGATGGACACTGAGTCTGTGGAAATAATCCCCAAAATTGACAAAAAGGATTACATGAGATTAAAAAGCTTCTGCAGGGGCTGGAGAAGTGGTTCAGTGGTTAAGAGCATTGGCTGCTCTTCCAGAAGACCCAAGTTTGATTCCCAGCACCCACATGGCAGCTAACAACTGTCTGTAATTCCAGTTCCAGGGGATCCAACACTTTCTTCTCACCTCCGTGGGCTTTGCATGACCCAGATGCACTTACACACATGCAGGCAATGCATTCATACACATAAAATTAAAATAATAAATAAAATATTTTTTAAAACTTCTACATAGCAGAGGAAACAACCAATTAAGTGAAGAGACATTGATAAAATGGGCAAAAAAAATTGCCAACAATACATCAAATAAAGGATTAATATCTAGGATGCATAAAGAACTGAAAAAATTAACCCCCCAAAACCCAAATCATCCAATTGATAAATGTGCTAATGAACTGAACAAACAGCTCTTTAAAAAATACAAATGACCAAAACATACTTGAAAAAGTATTAAACATCCCTAGCTACTGGAGAAATGTAAATTAAAACTACTTTGAGTCACTGTCTCACCCTAGTAAATAATTATCATCAAGAAAAAAAAATGCTGACAAGGATGTGCAGAAAGAGGAACATTTATTCACTGATGAAAATGTAGAGTCTTCTCAAAATACTGAAATAGACCTACCATATGTTTTAACTATATCATTATTGGGCAAATACCTGAAGGACTCTTATTAACATACCACAGAGATACTTGCACGTCTATGTTTATTGCTGCACTATTCACAATACCCAGGAAATGTAAGCAGTCTAGAAGTCCATCAGGTAATTTTATTTTTATTTATTATTTTTATTCTATGTGTATGAGTGTATTGTCTGCATGTATGTGAGTGCACCTGTGTCGTGCAGTGCCTCGGAGGTCAGAAGAGGGCGTCAGATTCCCCTGGAACTGGAGTTAAGGACTGTTCGTAGCTGCCATGTGGGTGCTGGGAGTCAAACTCAGATCCTCTGCAAGTGCAGTCAGTGCTCTTAACCGCTGAGCCATCTCTCCAGCCCTATTTTTAAAAAATATTTTATTTATTATTTTTATTTTATGTGTATGAGTGCGTTGCCTGCATGTATGTAAGTGCACTCATGTCGTGCAATGCCTGCAGAAATCAGCCCCTTGGAACTGGAGTTACAGATGGTTGTTAGCCTCCATGTGGGTGCTGGGAATTGAACCCGAGTTCTTTGTAAAAGCAGCCTTCAAAGAAGTACAGACTTCACATAATTTTCTTTTTAACTCATTTTAAAGAACAGAGTAGTAAAGGTTCAAAGAGTTTGCTGGCTTCTGTGATGTTTTCTCTTTTAGCTGTTCTCTCACATTCCCCCTGTAAAGGAATATATGGTAAGGAAAGGCCCTTAGATCAGAATGGGATTAAACAGTCAACTGTCTTCAATTTCATTGTCTTTCATTATGCTACACTTGCCAGCATAGGGAATACAATGTTATTTTGTGGTGTTGTTTGTTTGCTTGTTTGTTTTGAGATGGAATTTCTCTCTGTAGCTGGGGCTGGCCTCCAAAAATCTCACACTCTTCCTGCCTCAGCTTCCTGAGTGCTGGGATTACAGGTGTGTACCACCGTGTCTGGCTAGAATGGCATTTATTAAGTTGCTGTTTTTATGCCTAATTTAGCATCATGGCGTAGCTGTTGGTGTATTTTCAATATTCTAGGCTCCAGTGGGGCATGTGTAATTCCAGTCTTCCCACTTACAGGACAACTTCCAAGGGAAGATTGATTTTGTTGATTGTAAGTTTTCATATCCTTCTCGACCTGACACCCAAGTTCTGAATGGTCTCTCAGTGTCTGTGAATCCAGGGCAGACGCTGGCATTTGTTGGAAGCAGTGGATGTGGCAAAAGCACCAGTATTCAGCTGTTGGAACGTTTCTATGATCCTGATCAAGGGAAGGTGGTAAGTGCTACAAATGATTTTGAGAATTTTGCTTTCTGCTTATCTCCCCCAAATGGTCTCCAACGCTGTGTCTTGCCAGACTCACTCTCAAGCATTTGCCTTGGATATTTACTTCTATGGATGTTTTCAATTTCCAGTCATTTGCTGGTTGACCTGATTCTACCCATAGTTTCTAACATCATATTCTTCCCAGATCCAGATGGCTTGCTGACCTGTTAGGCAAAGAAAATTTGGCATGAGCACACCACAAAGCTGGAGAAGAGTGAATTTGACAGAAGCATTCACTTATCCTTAAATGGAGCATAACGTGCAGACTAATCGCGAAGCTAATGACTAGGAATGGAAAAAAGTGGGGGTGATGAGGGACATAATTGAACCCGAGTTCTTTGTAAAAGCAGCCTTCAAAGAAGTACAGACTTCACATAATTTTCTTTTTAACTCATTTTAAAGAACAGAGTAGTAAAGGTTCAAAGAGTTTGCTGGCTTCTGTGATGTTTTCTCTTTTAGCTGTTCTCTCACATTCCCCCTGTAAAGGAATATATGGTAAGGAAAGGCCCTTAGATCAGAATGGGATTAAACAGTCAACTGTCTTCAATTTCATTGTCTTTCATTATGCTACACTTGCCAGCATAGGGAATACAATGTTATTTTGTGGTGTTGTTTGTTTGCTTGTTTGTTTTGAGATGGAATTTCTCTCTGTAGCTGGGGCTGGCCTCCAAAAATCTCACACTCTTCCTGCCTCAGCTTCCTGAGTGCTGGGATTACAGGTGTGTACCACCGTGTCTGGCTAGAATGGCATTTATTAAGTTGCTGTTTTTATGCCTAATTTAGCATCATGGCGTAGCTGTTGGTGTATTTTCAATATTCTAGGCTCCAGTGGGGCATGTGTAATTCCAGTCTTCCCACTTACAGGACAACTTCCAAGGGAAGATTGATTTTGTTGATTGTAAGTTTTCATATCCTTCTCGACCTGACACCCAAGTTCTGAATGGTCTCTCAGTGTCTGTGAATCCAGGGCAGACGCTGGCATTTGTTGGAAGCAGTGGATGTGGCAAAAGCACCAGTATTCAGCTGTTGGAACGTTTCTATGATCCTGATCAAGGGAAGGTGGTAAGTGCTACAAATGATTTTGAGAATTTTGCTTTCTGCTTATCTCCCCCAAATGGTCTCCAACGCTGTGTCTTGCCAGACTCACTCTCAAGCATTTGCCTTGGATATTTACTTCTATGGATGTTTTCAATTTCCAGTCATTTGCTGGTTGACCTGATTCTACCCATAGTTTCTAACATCATATTCTTCCCAGATCCAGATGGCTTGCTGACCTGTTAGGCAAAGAAAATTTGGCATGAGCACACCACAAAGCTGGAGAAGAGTGAATTTGACAGAAGCATTCACTTATCCTTAAATGGAGCATAACGTGCAGACTAATCGCGAAGCTAATGACTAGGAATGGAAAAAAGTGGGGGTGATGAGGGACATCATGATAAATGAACAAGATAAGGGAGCAAACCTGCAAACCCGAGACAATCCTGGTTCAAGAGGCTCAAGTCTAACTAATGCAAGGAACTCAAACTGACAAAGCGTTAGCAAGGGTATCTGACAAATGGGTGAACTGCCACATTGCTTTTATTTGCAACATTTATTTCTCTTTTTCCCTCTCTTTGTTCTTGTCTTCCTTTTCAGGTAATATATGCACAATACTACAAAATCAAATAACAATGGTTTTTAATAGAAAGTAACACTCCCCTATAATTCTTTGTTCAAAGGCAACTTTTTAAACCACTCAGTGTTTTGAGCTCTCCCAATGGTTTTTACCTCTTTGTCTCTAAATATGCTCATTTCTGTTTTTATAATTTAACAAACTTAGACTTTGTTGATTTTTTTTAATTAAAAGGTAACTTACTACCAGTACTCTGCTTTTTTAGCCTGTTTCCCCCCAACAAACTCTAATACTTTGACAATGGCCTTTCTACTTTTCCTGAATAGTATAATCTTTATTGCAATGAAGATAGATAACATTTTGAAGAGAAATACTGAAACTTGAGATTCCCTTGCATAAAGCAAGGCAAAGAGGCAAGAAGATATTGGCAGAATCCAAGAAGTTATGAAAATAAGAAGCAGAAGTCGAGCCTGTGATTCATAATCATTATTGTTATTAATTTTAGGTCTAAAGATTTTAATTTATTTGAAAGTATTTGATGACTGGTGCACCTAGGAAGTACATAGCACTGGAGATCTGATCTCTGTAAGAGAAGAGATTCTGTTTTCCAAAATATCAGCTCTGTCATGCCTCTCACCCAGGTAGACTGGGAACTGTGTGAGATGTGGCAACCTGAATCCATCATGTTCCATCTCTCCAACATTACCATGCATACTAAGCACTTTTCTCTGAATGTACATATTGAATGTTCTGGTCACTGGTAGGAAGCAAGGCTCTGGAAGCAATCATAATCTCTTGAATTTCATAGGCAAAGTAAATTTTGTTATCTCACTGTAAACCATATCTACAAACACAAAGTAGGAAAACACTGCTTTAATCAATTTTCTAAAATCCTCTTGGGTTTTAAGGCACACTATCAAACATAGATACTCAGTATGTTCAATGATTAATAGGGTGTCTGTGATATGTCCAGTACTCTCTGTGGAAGGTTCTTTTTTAAAATTTATTTTATTTTATTTTACTTTATTTTGTGTGTATGACTATATTGCCTGCAAGTATAAGAGTGCACCTGGTACCCATGGAGGTCAGAAGAGGGCATCGGATCCCTTGGAATTGGAGTTACTAGTGGTTGGTAGCTGCCATGTCGGTGCTAGGAACTGAACCCAGGTCCTCTGCAAGAGCTATCAGTGCTCTTGAACACAAAACATGTCTACTGTTTTCTAGAAGGATATAATACAGTAGATATACAACAATTAGCAAAAAGATCAGTTTCTAACCAAGTGTTCAGTTGTGCTTTGCAGAAGTTAAGTACTATGGAAAATAGAGCAGGTTGAGCAAGGATTAGCTGCTGTTGAGGCCTACATTACTTTTTTTTTAAACTGTTTTATTTATTTTTATTTTATGTGTATGAGTGTATTGCCTGCATGTATGTGAGTGCACCAGTGTTGTGCAATGCTGTGGAGGTCAGAAGAGGGCTTCAGATTTCCCTGGAACTGGAGTTAAGGATGGTTTGTAGCTGCCATGTGGGTGCTGGGAATCAAACCCAGGTCCTCTGCAAGAGCAGTCAGTGCTCTTAACCGCTGAGCTATCTGTACATTACTTTTTTATGATAGTGTTTTTTTTTCCATTGCTCAGGAATTATCAAAAATTCATTCTGCTTATACCATTCGATATAATCTTTTTTATGAAATCATAGAGTCAAATACTTTATAATTGTATGTTAGATATACTGTACCTTTAGGAACTTAGAATTCTAAAGTGAACCAGCTTAAAGGGTATATATTTTAGTACCTGAACTTCCCTGAGTTCTGGACTGTGGAGCAGACTTTGTGCTTTCATCATGCAGCAGGCAGAGACTGCTTTGCATGGTGCCTTCTGGAAGTGATTCTATATGTGATAAGTGAACAAGTATATTTTTTCTTTGGGTTTATTATCTTAGCTGTTCAAAGAGTAATGTCAATAAACTCAAGGGCACACATTTGATTTTTTTAAAAATTATTTTATGTATATGTGTTTTGTCTGCATGTATGTAGTGCACCTATGACATGTAGTATCCACAGTGGTCAGAAGAGGGCATCAAATCCCTTGGTACTGGAGTTTCAGATGGTTGTTAGCCACCATGTGGGTGCTGGAAATCAAACCTGGGTACCCTGCAAGAGCAGCAAGTGCTCTTAATTGCTGAGCCATCTCTCCAGCCCCAACAAATTTGATTTTTATGTTGTCCAATATCTTTTTACACACACACACACACACACACACACACACACACACACACACACACCATTCTGGGCAACTCACAAAACTTCAAGAGAAAGTTTGCATAGTTATAGAAATTAGGCTATATAAACTATAAGGAGATATTTTTTCTCAGCTAAATACTGTCCTGAGATTCTCATTTGTATTCTGTAGAACTAGAGACAACAATAACAACAATCGTCTGATCAGTGTTACCTTTGAGACCACTCCTGACAGAAACAAGTTCCAGAGGCCAAAGACAGCTGAATTTATATCCTTGCCACCTCCCCCCCCAACCCCCGCTGCAGAACTCTGGGAATGGTCTCTCTTAAAGCAGAACAAATGCATGCACAGCATTTAACTCCAGAATATGAACTTTCCTCACTGCTGCAGTTCTAAAACTCCTCTGTTGTCATCTCTTTTGGCAGATGATAGATGGTCATGATAGTAAAAAAGTAAATATTCAGTTCCTTCGCTCCAACATTGGAATTGTTTCCCAGGAACCAGTGCTGTTTGCCTGTAGCATAATGGACAACATCAAGTATGGGGCCAACACCAAAGACATCTCCAGGGAAAGAGTCATAGCAGCTGCAAAGCAGGCTCAGCTGCACGACTTTGTCATGTCACTTCCAGAGGTGAGTACCACGTCCATCATTCCCTATGGGAGATAGGACTGGGAGAGTAGGATGCCCCAAAAGTATTACGATTGGGGCTCAGGGAGCATCTCAAAGGCAATGCAATTCACTTCCCGGTGTCTTGGTCTTCTGAGCAAAGTAAATGTCCCCCATCAGCACATTCTTTAATTAGAGAACATTATAGTACCAAACAAAATGAACACTATAGAAATTGCTACACATAACGCAATACCAACAAAGAATTAAATGAGCATTGTAGAAAGGAAGCCTGAATTTAGAATAGATGTGGGCTTGAATCCAAGTGTTGTCATTTACTACCCAAGTATACAATTTTGGGACATCTACTTATCCATTCTGATATTGTCTAGTCCATGTGCAACTGTGAAAAAAAAAACATTAAAATGAAGGTATAAGGGATTGGGAATGTAGCTTATTGATTGAGCTTTTGCCTAGCATGCATGCCCATCTTGCCAGCATGCCTAGTATCCTGGGTTCAAAAAATACACTTAATAGCCACACAAAGAAAGCTGCTGCTGTAATGATTACCATTATCATTATTTCTTTACTTGCAGCATATATGTGGTGGGGTAAGTTGCATCTGCCTTTGTGTCTCTTACTTTTCCAAAGCCAAATCTGAATTTGGTAGTCTTCATTCACTGAATATTTCTCTTTGGTAGTTGTTTGATCACAAGGAAATGTAAGATATGAAATCCAAGCTATAGGATGTAAGTAATCGCCTTTAGTGTTTTCCACCCCATTAAAAAAAATACCACTTGAAAATATTTTTCCTTGTGATTATGTGGGTAGACTGTGGGTTTTGGTGTGCTTGTTTGTTTGCTCTTTCCATAATTTCCTCAAGTCTTAGGCTCATGGCCAGGACCTGGGTGGCCTAAATGGCAAGTGTATTGAAATTCTTAAACTGAAGAGCAAAGCTTGAAGGTCCCCTAGATCTAATTATCCACAAATCTTCACTGAGTACCTACTTGTTTTGTGTAAGACTTGGGCCTAGAGTTGGTGTATTGCCCCCTTTTCAGACAGACTTGCCCATAATATTCTTCACTGAGCATTTGGTTTCCACAAGGACCAAGGAGGTTACTGTGGGTCTCTCCTGGCTAAGGTGAATGTTTGCAGGAGCACAAGAGTCAAGGGAAGGAAACAGCTTGCTGTGGCAGGTGGGTTAGAGTAATAGAGGACAGGATCAGAAGCTAGATCTGATGTTTAGTACTTGTTTTTTCAGGGTACAGTAGTCTTGCTTCTCTAGGCCTTAGTTTTATAATCTGTAGAATCAGCAGACTGGTTTCTGTGACTAAGAGGGATATTCCAGTTAGAATAGCTCACTCCAACCTTGGTGCAAACTAAATACTGTACAAATGTTAACTATTTTTAAATTTAGCCATGCCAGGCATCTAGCTAGACATTTTCCTTCCTAATTTAATTTTAAAAATTCATAGTAAATATGTGAGCTAGATACTAGTATTGAATTTGGAGACAAGTTTGAAGTGCAGACATTTAAGAAAGTTGCTTCTGATCACAAGACTCTAGGAAGTAACAGAGTATAAGTTCAAACCAAGGCTTGTGTTCCAGAATGTTGTCTCTGAAGAAAGGGAGCCAAGCATAAAGTCCCCTAAAAGGCATTTCTATTCATGGGATTAGTACACCTTGTAATGTTTGGTGATGAAAGTCTGGAAATCAGAGAATCTCAAACCAAGGAGGCTGTCCTATGTGGAATCTTGCTTGGACAGAAGGAGAAGGTATAAACCTCAAACCTCATATTCCAGCCCAAACTTCATATATTTTAATACTTATAACTGGATTTGATAGCTTTTTAAAATTTATTTATTATTTTATTTTATGTATATGTGTGTATTGTCTGTATGTATGTAAGTGTATCCATATCATGCAATGCCTGCAGTGGACAGAAGAGGGCATCGGATCCCCTGGAACTGGAGTTAAAGACAGTTGTTAGCTGCCATGTGGTTGCTGGGATTCGAACCTGGGTCTTCTGCAGGAATAACCAGGGTTCCCAACCACTGAGCCATCTCTCCAGCCCCAGACAATTCAGGATTTGGAAACTGAATTCAGCAAAAAGACAGAAATATTGATTAAAATTCAGGCTGACATGATGATGGGATTGAAAATATTGAAAAATCAATTTGAAAAGAAAGGAAAAACCTCACCAACAGAATGAGCAAAATGAGAAATGGCGTAGTAAGGCTAGGAGGCAAAATTGAAGAATTGAACTGCACAGACAAAGAATATGTAAAACAAAGAAAATATAGGGGTCTTCTGCAAGAACAGCCAGTGTTCGTAACTGCTGAGCCATTTCTCCAGGCCCCTGGATTTGATATCTTTTATTGAATTTGTTCACTATTTCTAAGCTAAAAAAAATATTCTAAGTTCAGAAAAAAGAAAGGAATTTAAATTCCCAGAGGAGCCATCGATGTGGGTTCCACATAGCACAGGAGCAATGACTGTCTCCTAAACTTGCTGTGCTTCTTCCAGAAATACGAAACTAATGTTGGGACCCAGGGCTCTCAGCTCTCTCGAGGAGAGAAACAACGCATTGCTATAGCTCGGGCCATTGTACGGGATCCTAAAATCTTGCTACTTGATGAAGCTACTTCTGCCCTGGACACAGAAAGCGAAAAGGTATGTATGAATTTCTAAAGTCTTGGGTTATTAAAGATGAGTCCTTTGCAGGAAGATTTGTTCATAAAATGACACTATTTTCAGTTTCGTTATACATTTACAGTAGAAATTGGCAATATTTTGTGAACACAAAAGACAATAATCTATAGCAAATAGTCTAACAGGGTAGGTAACTTCAAATAAAACACTTAACTTTAAAATAACTGTTTTGGGGACTGGAGACATGGCTCAGTGGTTTAAGAGCACTAGTTGCTCTTGCAGAGGACTCAGCATCCACATGGCAGCTCACAACCATTAGTAACTCCAGTTCCAGGGGATCCAGTGCCCTCTCTGTCCTCCATGGGCACTACATGCATATTATGTACTTACATATAGGCAAAACCCTCATATACACAAAATAAAAATACATAAAATATTTAAAAAATAACTGTTCTTAAGGTTCTTCAGGCTCAATTACATTTTTCAAAGGCAAAAAATTATCTTCCTTAACTATATCAAAATAATTTTGGTTATCAGCTAAACATATTTTTATAGTTTTCAAATGGTGTGACAGAGTATGTAGGCCACACAGAACACTTTAAAGAAGGTGGTACCCATGTAAAGTTTGCAGCTGAGAGAATGAAATCCAGAATTTATGATTAGCATCTTTAGAATAAGGATTCCACTTTGTAGAGAGGTAAAATGTCCTCAATGAGAAAGAATTGACTGACCACTTACCTGTTCCCCTCTGCTACACCCGTGGGTTCATTTTCATAAACTAGACCATCAAGCATTGTAAAATTCCCTAGTGACTTGGTAGTTGGCTCATTCTGGCTTCACTGAAACTCCTCAGCTGGAGGGCTGCAATTTCAGGTGGTATCTGAAATCAACTTTCACAGTGGTGGGCAGGGAGCAATCATTTGTCTTTCCATTAACTTTCCATCTTCTTTTTCCAGACAGTGCAGATTGCTCTGGACAAAGCCAGAGAGGGTCGGACCTGCATTGTCATTGCCCATCGCTTGTCCACCATCCAGAACTCAGACATCATCGCTGTCATGTCACAGGGGGTAGTGATTGAAAAGGGGACCCATGAAGAACTAATGACCCAGAAAGGAGCTTACTACAGGCTGGTCAGCACTGGAGCCTCCATCAGTTGACCCAACTCAAGACCTTCACACCCAGATAATGCACCAAGTACAGAAGTGCTGCAGATTGTTGTATCTTTATGGAGAGATGTTAAAGTTTCATCAACATAGTCACAGCTGAGATCTAAGCTAAATTCTAATGGCCTTCAGTAGTAATTCAGTTTGAAATATCTAGATAGAAAAGAAAGATGCTAGGGTCAGTGTGAGCGCAAATTCAAGGTCAAGCAGCTGCCTATCTACCACACAGAGCTTTTCTAGGTAGGAGCTTGTCACACTCACCCATGAAGAAGTTACTGAGCTGTCACAAAGTGAACGACTGAATTCCTCTAAGACGGAGGATTAGCTTTTGCATTTTTTAAAGCTACACTGTTTATTGAGCTGAATCAAGGTCAAATGTGAAAAGAGCTAAAGGTCAAAGGTTAATGGTATTTCTTAGCTAAGTTTTGTTGTTTGTTGCTGTTTTCCATATGAAATCAAATTTATTTCTGTCTAAGTCTTTGAGTAAGGAAGGGAGCACTTTCACACTCTGGAAGCCCTGAGGCTGAGGGAAGGCAAAGGTAGGTATAGACCAGCTGGCAGGTGTGTTGATTTAGGCCCAACACTTAAGGTGTGGATGTCACTATACAATGCAGGAGGATCTGCCAGTGTGGAGTAGGGGCTCTCTACTAGGCCTTTACCCCGCACCCCAAGCCCATATCACCTGCTATCTCTTATTTCTATGAAATCCTGTTCATGAACTGAAACTTGAACATTTTACTTTGCTTTAGCTTCCCAAATTATCCAGAAAAATATCCAGTTAGACATGGTAGAAAAGCATTCATGTTTGTCCTGTACCCTCAGAATACCACTGACTGGTGTTAAAGGCACATAGCCACAAGAATAAAGAAGACAAAATGATCCCAGCAACAAAATGTGTGACTAATGGAAGTAGAAGATGAGAGAAAATTAAAATGTAATCTGTTAGTTGGGGAAAACATGTAGACCTCCCATTTTGTACTTCAGATCCCTGGAAAAACTGAGATGTAAAGCCCCAGGGTTCTTCTGGAGGGAGGAGGCAGAGGGATGGATGGGGCTGAAGTGAGACTAATGGGCTGCAAGCCTGTGTAAAGTCAGGTGTACAGCCTGCTCTTGCAGCCACCTGCTTGCCTTTCCCAGTCACAACAGAATACTGGCTACTTCCTCCTTTGCCCACAGGCAGGTGTGAGCACAGGGACACAAGCTGTAATTGAAGAAGTAATGTACAGGAGACAAGGGATTGAACTCAAGACTGTATGTGACCAGAAACTCTCTTAACCTCCATCTTCTGGCAGGGGATCAAAGAATAAATCTCTGGGGCAATTGGTCAACATAGGAAAAGAGATCTATGGTCTGATGCTAAGAATCTTTCAAAGAAAATTTCCCAGCCACACACAATCCTGTGAAGACCAACAACATGTACCCACTCAGTCTGTTTCTCTGGCTTTTCAGTGTCTTTCTCTTGCATTGAAAAATACTGGCAAGGATCACTGTAATATTTTAACAAGCAAAGGCAGTGACAAAAGAACACTCGGAGAAAGGAAATTACAGGTAACAAAGAAAGTAAAAATTAGGAAAACACTGAGAGAAGAAATGATCCATCTGTTGAAACAAAAATAGGAGTTCATAAATGCACACACACATGCACACACACACACACACACACAGAGAGAGAGAGAGAGAGAAAAAAAGACAGATGTCTAAAAAAAAAGAGAAAAACACAAATACACACACACACGCACACACACACACACACACACAGAGAGAGAGAGAGAGAGAGAGAGAGAGAGAGAGAGAGAGAGAGAGAGAGAAGAGCTCAAGATAAATGAGATGAAAAATTCAGTAACAAGGTAGTTCAGGGTCCAGCTCCCATAGGCCATACAGTTCCCCTATCTTCCTCCCAAGTCCATTCTGTTTATAAATTATCCTCATGCTGAGCCATATTTTGAAGTGTGTTATTATTATTAATTATTATTATTACTATTAATTTGTCATCCAGAGTTTCCTGGTAAATAACTGCAAAGATAGGTTAATATGTTAACCATGCTGAAGGTTGCCAAGCTGGGGAGGCAGAGGGTAGAGGTATGCATTCTAACTGTGAAAAAAGACAGGGACAAGTAAGTTATAGAATTAATGACCACTAAGAGGAAATAAGGTTTGCAGTAAACACATGCTCAAACTCTACTCTTGAAGAAAGGAGAATAAAACCCACTTGTTTAGGTTTGTATTTCAGAGAGGGAGATGATGAGCTCTACACTAAGAGATTGCTATTTCCTAGAAAGGCAATTATGAGGTGTGCAACCAACATCTTTTCCATTAAGGTACTTTAAAGTGATGACGAGAAGACTGGACAGATGTGAAATACTATGGTGAAACAATTGCTGTTCCCCCTCCTCCTCCTCCTTGTTTTTCTCCTCTTCTTCCTTCTCCTCTTCCTCCTCTTCTGCTTCCTTCTCTTTCTTCTTGTGTACAGTACAGGGCTTTGTGGTTTGTAGACAAGGATTCAACCACTGAGCTACATCCTTAGTAAAGACTGCTTTTTGAGACTCCATGACAAGGGAGATTACAATTTTCAAACTATCTAACTAACTAAATAAACAACAACAAATCTGCATATTTATTTTACAATGATGAGGAGAATTAATATCTTAATTTGTATCCTATACACTGTATGTATCCCCTGCATATATCCTGCATCCTGGTATCTCATACACATACACATCACACACACACATATCACATACACACACACACACACACGTACATATATAGCTGGCAAAGATTTGATCTCTTCAATTTTATATTATTGCTGTTTCTCAGATGACTGAAAGATTCCCTTAATATGTTTTGTTGGACACTATTCAGAAATCTTTCTCCAACTTTCTAATATTTTCATGATGTGTTTGTTGGATCAAACTCTCCCCATTAATTCCAGTTAATGAAAGTTTAAAGAAGAAAGTGGAGGAAGAGAAGGATGAGAAGGGAAATTGGAAGATAACGTTGGGTAAATTTCTCTGAAAGTGAAAAAAATAGGGATGAAAAGTAGAAAAGGTCAAAAGGGAAAAATTAGACAGATCACAAAGTTCAAAAGTTTTGCTAATAGCATGTGCAGAGAGTTGAAATAAAACTGAAAGGATGAAATGAAATAAACTATTCAAAAATATTACCTCTAATTGAAGCATGTGAATTTCTAAACTTAAAGTGTTCCTCACCATGGAATATAATAAATAAAGCTCTCACTGGAGCATATTACTGTGAATTTTTAGAAAACTGAGAAAAAAGACTGAGGGGTTGGCTCAGTGGTTGAGCACTTGACTAACGTGCCGTGCCCTAGCTTTGATCGCCAGCATCACAATAAAAAAGAAGAGAAGAGGGAGCAAGGCAGAAAAGAGAAAAAAGACTGTACTGTTGGTAGAGTGCTTGACTATTTTGCAGGAGGCTCTAAATCCAGTCCCAGGGCCTCGTAAACTGAGTGTGGTGGCACGTGCTTGCAATCCCAGCACTCGAGTTGGGAGGTAGAGGCAGGAGGATCAGAACTCAAGGTCATCTTCTATTGCATAGGGAAGAGAAGTGAAGGGAAGGGGAAGGGAGAGGAAAAGAAAAAGAAAGAAGGAAGGAAGGGAAAGGGGGAAGGCAAAAGGGGGGAATGAGGAAACAGGAGACAAGAACAAACTACATATAATAGGGAAACAATCATGATGACCCCCACCAAACTTCACCAGTCCCATAGAAGAGTTCCACAAGGAGAACCCCCTAGAGACAACCCAGGACAGAGAATTTAAAAGAACAATCATAAACATGATCAAGGAATTCAACCAGTTTAAAGAACACAGAAACAAACAAAGAAATAAAAGAGGATAGGGATAAACTTCTGAACGAAATCACAAAAGAGAAAGAAACATTGAAGAGAACTCAAGCAGAAATGAAGGAAGTGAAGAAGTCAATAAGCCAACTTGAAACAATAGGGGAGAGCCTCATTGCTAGAATGAATGAAATGGAAAACAGGATATCAACACTGGAGGATAGAATTGAAGAACTGGACCACTTAAGCAAAGAATATGGAAAATTAAAAAAAAAACACAGAAGTGGAATATGCAAGAGATATGGGACACCATGAAAAGACCAAATGTATGTATCATAGGCATAGAGGAGGGAGAAGAATTTCAGACTAATGGTATTGACCAGATCTTAAACAGGGTTTTAGAAGAGAATTTCCCAAAATCAAGGAAGGACATTCCCATACAAATACAGAAAGCGTATAGAACACCAAATAGGATCAGAAAAGAAACTCCTTACAGCACATCACAGTAAGAACACTGAATGTACAGAACAAAGAAATACTGAAAGCAGCAAAAGAAAAACAAGTCACATATAAAGGAAAGCCCATTGGAATTACAACTGACTTCCCAATGCAAACTATGAAAGCCAGAAGAGCCTGGACCAAGTATTTCCATGTCTAAATGACAATAGATGCCACCCCAGAATACTTTATCCAGCAAAAAAAAAAGTGTCTATTACAGTTGAGGGAGAAAGAAAAATCTTCCATGACACAAATAGCCTAAAAGAATACATGTCCACAAAACCAGCCCTTCAAAGAATACCAGAAGCAATACAAAGAATGGAGAAAGGAACAGATACACCCCAGGGGCAAAAAAAGAAAATAAATAAAGGTATAATTGAAAAACACAAAATTAGACAAAGAATGCAAACAGCAATCAAAGTGATGGCAACCAACACACATCTTTCAATAATAACTTTAAATATCAAGTTTAATATTTAATGAATTCCCCAGTCAAAAGAGACAGGCTAGTTGAATGAATTAAAAAACAAAATCCATCTTTTTGCTGCCTGCAAAAAACCCATCTCACCTTCAAGGACAGGCACTACCTGAAGGTGAAAGGATGGAAAAGAATATTCCAAGGAAATGCCACTAAGAAACAAGAAGGGGTTACAATTCTAATATCTAACAAAATAGACTTCAAAGAAAGACTAATCAGAAGAGATAAGGAAGGTTACTTCATTCTGATCAAAGAAACAATTAACCAAGAAGATATTACAATCCTGAACATATTATGCACCAAATTCTGATGCGGCCAAATTCACAAAAACAACACTACAAGACTTTATGACACAGATTAACCCCAATTCAGTAATAGTAGGGGACTTCAATACCCCACAGTCTCCATTAGACAGGTCAACTAGACAAAGTATAAACAGAGAGAAATCTGAATTAAATGATATCATACATCAAATGGATAACAGTCATTTTTCAAATATTCCACCCAAGTACCAAAGAATACACTTTCTACTCAGCACCCTATAGAACTTTTTAAAAAACTGACCACATACTAGGCCACCAATCAAACCTCAATAACTAAAAAAAAAAAAAAAAAAAAAGGAAATAATTCCGTGCATTCTATTGGACCACAATGCAATAAAGCTCAAAATCAACACTGGACAAAGCCCTAGTCACTACACGAACTTGTGGCAATTGAACAACATACTCCTAAACAATGAGTGGGTCAAAGGAGAAATTAAGAAAGAAGTAAAAAAAGTCCTGGAATTCAACAAAAGGGACAATACAACACAACCTCAGGGACACGTTAAAAGCAGTCCTAAGAGGGAAGTTTATAGCTCTAAGTGCCTACATTAAAAATTAGGAAGAACCCAAATAAACAACCTAACACTGCAACTCAAGACAGTGAAAAGACTAAAACAAATGAAACCCAAACCCAACAGAAGAGAAGAAATGACAAAAATCAAAGCAGAAATTAATGAAATAGAGACAAAGAAAACAATACAAAGAATCAATGAATCTAAGAGCTGGTTCTTTGAAAAGCTAAACAAGGTAGACAGACCTTAGCCCAGTTAACAAAAAGAAAGAGCAAATCCAAATCAACAAAATCAGAGATGAAAGGGGAAACATCACAACAGATACCCAAAAGATCCAGAACACTATAAGGAAATATTTTAAAAACCTATACTCTGCAAAATTTGAAAATATAAAGAAACTGATGGATATCTAAAATCATGGGAATGACCAAAGTTAAACCAGGAAGAGATCAACAGTTTAAACAGACCCATAATATAAAAGGCAATCAAAACAGTAATACAAAGCCTCCTGAATAAAAAATGCCCAGTCCCACATGGATTTACCAGCAGAGTTCCACCAGACATTTAAAGAAGACCTCCAACCAATACTACTTAAATTATTCAACACGCTAGAAACAGAGGGAGAACGCCCAAATTCCCCCTATGAAGCCAGGATCATTCACTTTAATACCCAAACCAGGTAAACACACAACCAAAAAAGAAAACTATAGCCTCTGCTTCCCTGGGCCTG